CCAACAGGTCTGGACTTGAACTGCAGACAGCCATGTGGGAATCCAGGACCTTAGCCGCCACACCACCTGCTGACCCCAACATTAAATCTATTTTTTTTGGAGAGGTTTTTTTGCTATAGGGCGCATGCGCTCGCCAGACAGACAGAGAGAGACATAGAGACAGAAAGCGAGAAATCACCCCCCGGGGGGATGGTCATGCCGCAATCCCTTCTCCTCCATTCTCCTCTCGGGATCTTGGGCATGCACACACATGCTCCTGGCATGAGTTTTAAGCCACCGGGTCTGGGATGCGAACCGCGGTCGACTATGTGGGAATCCAGCAACATAGCCATTTCGCTAACTGCTGGTTCCCATTAAATCTTAAAGCTAGAAAGAAAAAAACATTTTTTTCTGCCCTCTGCACACATTGGAGCAGCAGTCAGGTCCCCGCAAGGCCTCAGGAAGTCCTACTCCTAGAGCTTTGCTGGACTCAGTCCACCCAGCAGCTCTCATATATTGTAGTCTTGTGCATACAGCTTTTCTAGGCTGGAGTTGCACATGGTGGCTCTACAGTCCTGGAGTTTGGGGGGGCTGCTCCACTCCTGCATTTTCATTATGCATAGTCCTAGTGGTGACTACCTACAGTGGCCTTGCTCCTAGAGCTCTGTTGGGCATTGTTCTACTGGGGTCTCTGCTTCTGCAACAAATCTCTGCCTGGACCTCCAGGCTGCCTATGTCATCCTTTGAAACTTAGGTTGAAGCCACCATAACTCCATAGTGCTTGCATTATGCGTGCCTATAGAATTATCCCCACATCAGTGCTGACTAGGTTTAAGGCCTATACTTTATGTAGTGGTGGGTTGAGCCACATGTGGGTTTGGTTAAACCATAGCTGGGGTGGCTAAGGAGCACTATGCTGTGAGGTGGGGAGTAGAGTCTCACAGTGGCCCTGAGCAGTGACTGCTAAAACCCAGCAGGTACCTCTCTGGAAAACTTGCCTCAAGGTCCTTCTTTGGGTCTGTGACGTGAGGGTCAACCTTGAGGATTTTTGAGATGTCTTTGGGGCCGTTCTCCCTTTGTCTCGATGAATAGCACCTGGTTTTCTTCAATTTATAGTAATCTCTTTAGCAACACCTTTGATTTGCCCTCCTAACCACAACTTTTCTCTCTTTATAGGACTAGGCTACAAATTTTCCAAATCTTTTCACTCTGCTTCTCTTTTATTTATTTATTTAATTTTTAATTTACCAGAGGGTGCATGTGCTCACCAGAGAGAGACACAGAAAGATGGAAAGAGGGAGAGGGAGAACGCAACCCAAATGGTCATGCTGCGATCCTTTTTCCTCAATTTTTCTATCTTGTTGGGATCTAGGGCATGCATGCACATGCACCCAGCATATTTCTCAAACCACCAAGTCCAGGACTCAAACTATGCAATCAGCCATGTGGGATCTGGTTCCCTTAACCACTGGGTTATAGAGCCAGTCCTTTGCTTCCCTTTTCATTATAAAAATCTGTCTTTAAGTCATTTCTTTCTTATTCTACTGCAAGTGGCCAAAATAAACCATGCAGCACTTTAAAGGCTTCATTGTTTTGATATTTTTTTCTGCCAGCTAGCCTGGTTCATTGCTTTTAAGTTCTGCCCTCTGTCAAATTCTTTATGACTATGTAACGAGGATGGCCTTTACTCCAGTTTCTAATACCTTCTTCTTCTTGCTTTCTGGAAACCTAGAAAACCCACCAGAATGGTTAAGGGACCCTCACTGTGTCTTTGGCAAATGTCTGTGTCTGCTTTTGTTGAATGCTGGGCCTGCTGTCCACAATGAGCTCATTCACAGCAAACTGATCACGGCAAATGTCATTCACACATGAAAGTTTGGGTGTGTCTCAGGGAATGCCATGAAGAGTGATGGTTGCCATTGGGTTTGTAGTTTCCTTGGAAAGGTGAAGAGAATGCTTTTCTTTTAAGTTTGATACATAAAATCCATGGGCTTTTGAACAGTATGAACTGAGGAGCTCTACTGTGAGGTCAAGAAAGATTTGGGCACAGAATTCTGATGGAGTAACTAGAAAACAAATGAATCTCTACTACAGGGGCAGTTGTAGACTGTAGATGCCATTTTGAGAGGAAGGGAGAATTGTGAGGAGTTAAACCAAGCCCAGTAAGGACCAGGCTTACCACTAAGGTTCTGATTTCAACCTAAGCAGATCAGCTTGTTGTGCTTGGATGAACTGTGGGGACTTGTTTTACATGTAGCCTCTTAAACTTATATGAAGAATTTTTCAAAACACTCATGCAAAACGCATATTACAAAAAATTATGCATGAATTTCAAAATGTTTTTGCACTGAAATAAACTCATTTAGTTCCAGTTTTTGCCCCATGAATCCTTTTAAAGCCTTCTTAAATACATTTCAATTCGAATGACGTTAGCAGCTGTCTCACCTTTGTATTTAGCCACTGGTGGCTCTCTGTATCCCTCATTTACATTTACCTGCCTGCCTCCTACCTGTGTGGCTCATAAAGACGTGTGAGTTTGGCTTAAACCTTAAACCTATGTTTCCCAATCTGAATCCACTTCAGATTAATAAATTATTTATATTTCCCATCTTAGACCTGAGGAGTAAAACTGACAAGGGGAGAAACGAGGAGAAGATACCAATATAGTCTGGTCCCTTGTAGCTCAGTGGCTATGTTCAAGCTTTGGAGTGAAAGACCTATGCCTAGTGTCTTATTCATTATTGCATTGCTAACAGAAATATCCTGACTGGCTGATTTAATCAAGAAGAGGGGTTTATGGACTCTTAATTCTGGTAACGGAAAAGTCTGAAGGCATCGGCCTGGCATCAGGCCTGCCCTACAACTTGGTCTACAGAAGCACAGAGGAAGGCGGGCACTGCAGAGAGCAAGCTGTGGGCAGCTTTCTTTTATAACACCTCTCAAGAGGACTAACTTCTCGTGACAGCTAGAATGCGCTGGGTTTCCCGAGGCATCATTTATCTACTCTTGAGAGCAATGTCACCATGATCCAATCACCACCTGCTAGGCTTCTCCACCTCTGAACACCACATTCCAAAATGTAAGATTTCGGAGGACAAAATTATTATCCAAACCACAAGAGCAGGTTATTTAAATTCTCTAAGCTTCAGCTTCTTCGTCTGTAATGTCAACTGTTTTGATTAAACAAAGAGTCTGGGTAATTTATAAAAATAGAGGTTTATCTAGCTCATGGTTTGGAGGTCCAAGGTCCAGGGGCTGCATCTGCTGAGGATCTTTTGTCTGCATCACAGTATAGTGGAGGAGAGGCTCACGTGCATGTGTCTCTGTTCTGGTCTCATCCCTTCCCTTGAAAACCTACCAGAAGTCAAGCAGGGAGGCCCCACCCTAATGACCTTAATCCCAATCTCCTCCTAATGGTCCTACCTTTCAGCATCAGAGTCAGATCATGTTTTCACTCTCTTAATACTGTCACAACCACATCTTTCCTCCTTCCCTTCCTTTCTTCCTTTCTTATTGCCAGAGGATGCATATGCTTGGCACAGAGAGAGGGAGGAAGAGAGAAAGCATTCCACAGTGGAGTGTAGTCTCACTACAGTCCTTTCTTCTCCAGTGCGCCTTCCTAGAATTTTAGCCACATACACATATGCTCCAGTGTGTTTTTCATGCTGTTGGAGCCAGATTCAAACCATGGTGGGCCATGGATCTGGCTCCTGAAACCAATGGGCTATTGGGCTGACCCACAACCAAATCTCAGTACATAGATTTTGCAGGGACATTCAAATCTTGGCTCGTTGTGTAGCAAGGATTGTGAGTCCTCTAACGTGAAAATGACAAGGGAGACACAGGAATTGCTCATTTAGACAGTAATGTGAGGAAGCTAACCCACGCCACTGCCCTTGTCTGTACAAATCAGAGTCTAGGATGAAAATTCAACCAGTCTCTGGGCACAGATGTTTGCTTTCTACAGCTCTGCTAAGGGCTGTGGTATTTAAAGAAATAATTCTTTTAATTCAAAGTTTCACAAATATCTTCCTGTTTATATTGCAGCTAAACTTCTTGCTGAGTATGGGATATGTGATTTAACATCAAATGAATTCTGTATTACTGTGAGAAAGAAGTTTTGGTTATAAAAGGAGTGTGTTCTGACTTCTGGGTGATATCTCAATACAGTTTTTTTTAGAATTATTTTTATTTAATTTTATTTATTCCTTCATTTATTTTCATTTGACCAGAGACACACAGAGAGAGAGAGAGAGAGGGAAAGTGAGAAAGCAAGTTGCCAGGTTTGGGACTTGAACCATGGTCAGCCATGTGGGAGTGTCCAGTGCCTTAGCCACCATGCCACCTGCTGGTCCCCTCAATACATCTTTAAAGCAATCCATGCACGCACACATGAATGGATGGACAAATGGCTGGGAAAGGTGGACAGAAACTAAAAGAATGCCAATTTCATTCTTGAGGACAACTAAATACGTACAACTCATGTCCAGTTTTTAGCCAACACTGTTAGCTGATAATTAAAATAACTTACTTGTATGGGGCCAGCAGATGGCTGGCATAATAGTTAAGGAGCTGGACTCCCATCTGGTCGACTGTGGTTTGAGTCCTGGACCTGTTGTCTTGAAACTCATGCAGGCATGTGTGTGTGCATGCCCCAAATCCCAAGGAGGACTGGAGGAGATGGGATTGTGGTATGGCCATTCCCCCTGGGGGGGTGATTTTTTCACTTTCTGTCTCTGGCGAAGCGTACATGCCCTATAGCAAAAATCTCTAAAAAAGAAAATAAATTATGTAAAAAGGAAAAAGAAATTTGCCTCCCTTAGAGGGATTTAAGTAAAATCACTTAACCTGAAACAGCACCATCTTCATTTATGTATTTCATAGTTTGTATATATGAAATGTAGTTGGTTTAAAAAGTAAAAATATAAAATGGAAATGTAGAGAGCAACCCAAATGATCAACAACTACCAACTTCTTATAATTTGCAAGGAATAGTCCACATACCCATTAATCACTCTTACCTCCTTGGAGGCTAAGATTTGGCGTAACTCTTTCCTCAGATCAATAAACCGATCGTGGAAGAGGGCCATACACCATGGCTCTTCGAAGTAGCTAGTGAGGAGAGCAGAGATTCAGTTAGCCGGCAACCCTCTCATTATCACTAATAAAGTATTTACCTGCTTTTTTGCCTTTATAAATTACAGCTCTGGCCCCATTGCAATCGTTTGCTCATAAAATGCTTCATGGAGCAGGCTGGCCAATCAATTTTTTAAATGGATGTTCCTGATGTAAGTCCAGGTTCCATAATTACTTTTAAAGTGGTTTAATTCAGAGCTGGGGCAAGACCCAGTGAAGAATCCTGATTTTATCAGAATTTAAAAGCCTGAAGACTTGTAAAGAACGGTGTCTCCATTATCTGCCCTCGTTTGCGAAAAACAGATTGTAGGATTAACTGAACTGCTGCATAAACAAATTAAATTTGGGTAGACAATAACACAAGCGTTGCTCATCATTAAGGTTTCTGGATTAATAATGACCAGAAAAACAGGCCACCTCAGTGTCGCAACACGGTCCTCGCACAGCTGTGCCGATGCCTAATTGAATCTCTTTTAGGAGTGCCACTCTGTGGGTGTTTGCATTTGCTAACTTTTCACTGAAGACTGAATAAATGCTTTCTTACATGGAGGACAAATGGCCATACTTAATTTACAGGTGACCCTGAAAAACTGATGCAAAAACATCATTGGTATATATATATTTTTTTTTTTGAGAGAGAGATTTTTGCTACTGGCACGTGTGCTTGCCAGAGAGACTGAGAGAGGAAGAGAGACAGAAAGCGAAAAATCACCTCCTGGTTGGGGGGGTGGCCACACCATCATCCCTTCTCCTCCAGTCTCCTCTTGGGATGCTGGACACACACGCACACGCATCTAGCGGGAGTTTTAAGCTGCCGGGTCCAGGATTTGAACCACGGTCAACTGTGTGGGAGTCCACACAGGGGGGGCCACCATCCAGTGGCCCCCATTTATTGGTATTTTAACTCATACTTTAGTTTACTGCTATGCGTCTTGGAGTGGGATACTTCTTCAGGGTCACAGCCAGGTTGACTATGAGGCTTTCTCTAGATGTGAGTTGTAGTAGACCGCAGTTCCAGTCCTGGACCTGGTGGCTTAAACTCACGCTGAACGCGCGTGTGTGTGTGCCCAAGATCCCGAGAGGAGAATGGAGGAGAAGGGATTGCAGCGTGGCCATCCCCCCGTGGGGTGATTTCTCGCTTTCTGTGTCTCTGTCTCTCTCTCTGTCTTTCTGGCGAGCGCACGCGCCCTATAGCAAAAAATCTCTCCAAAAAAAGAAAAAAACAAAACAAAAAAAACAAACAAAGCAGGGCTATGAATGGGGCCAACAGGTGGCGCAGTGGCTAAGGTGCCGGACTGCCCCGTGGTCTACCACACTTCAAATCCCGAAACCGATGACTTGAAAATCATACTAAATGCGTTGTGTGTGCACCCCCCCCCCAAAAAAAATTAGAAAAATGTTAGTCATTTGGAGATTCCAATTCCTCCACTAAACTTACCCCAAATGTTTTCTTTCAGTCAATTGTGCAACTTCTTTAATTTCTCCACAAATAACTTCATAATTTGTATTTTAAAATGCCAAGTCATACATTTTAAACTAAGAGAGCAGCAGCAGCGCTACTACACTCAGTAATTTGAATGTGCCCCAGTACAGAAGCATAACTTAATTGGCTGACACTTTTTTAATAACATACAAATAATCAAAACAAAGGCTATAGCCAATGTTTAAAAAAGCCATTGTCTTGGGACCAGCATGGCTGGCAGTGGTGGCTATGTCGCTGGACTCCCATGTAGTCCACTGCAGTTCAAGTCCCGGACCCGGTGGCTTAAATTCACGCTGAGCATGTGTGCGTGCGTGCTCAAGA